ACTCCACTTAGTGATTCTTATCGCTTCTAGCCTCACACCAGGTTCCAAAAGCCCCCTTTCCTTGCAACAAACAGTTCTCCGGCACTCACAAAGACTTAACTTTTGTATGGAAAGAGTTGTTCTTCTTTTCTCGAGTGCCAAAGCAGAGTTTAAGTAGGGAAATTAGGGTTTAGGAATTTGGGATTTCGAAACTAGGGTTCTTGGTAATTGGGTTTTCGAAAATAGGGTTAATTTGAAATTTAAAATGAAAAACAGACTGAAATAATCGATTATTTGGAGTAATAATCGATTAAAACAGAGCCAAATACGTCAGAACCCAAACCTCTCTGGATTAATCGATTATTTGGTGAAATAATCGATTATCTGTACGGATCAAGTACAAAACAATCGATTATTTTGCTGTTTTAATCGATTAAAACAGTGAGTTTGTATAGAAAGTGTTTTCTCACTGTTTTAATCGATTATTTACCTATATAATCGATTAAAGCCGAGCCTAAATGATAAATTTGAGCTTTTTGAAGCTTCTAAGTTACAGACTATGTACCGGCTATCTTAGACTCTAAAAATACAGACTCAATCTTAAATAAAACAGAGTTATTACAATACAATTATCACCAATCTTCAATCTTCAATATTCTAAGTCTTTAGTTCTTGGATCATCATCAAAATCCATTCTTCATATTCATCAAGTGCAACATCAAGTCCTTGAATTGTCAATAGGTGGCATGGTTTACCAAAGACAACCCGATTAGGAGACATCCCTATAGGTGCCTTGTAAGCAGTCCTATGCGCCCAAAGAGCATCCTCCAAATAAGCGTACTTGAGGTTTTCTGGTAAAGTCTTTAGTTCTGGAGTGGGTGCTGGTTGAACAGAAGGAACCAGAGAGGGAAGAAGAATGGGTTCCACAGCCTGTACCTCAACCTACAAGTCAGATTCATGTATACTTCTTGCAACATGGTTAGTGCATTCTGACTCTAAAGAACTTATATCCATAGGAGGTACAACACCCAAAACATCAGACATATGATTAGATTTAAATTCAGAATATAACTCAGGATTAGAATGAAGATCCATGTCAATATCAAAATCATATTCGGATTCGGTGCATGCAAAAGAAGTATATAGATCAGAAAGAAAACAATGTTTCCTAGCATGTAAGGAATGAAAATCAGAAACATACTCATCAATAACATCATCAATGATCTCAACATGAAAAACAAAATGGCACTCAGATGGATGTTTCATGGCATCCAGAATATTGAAATGGACAATAATATCACCAAATTCCATGGACAATGTACCATCATACACATCAATCTTGGTTCGGGTTGTTTTTAAAAATGGTCTGCCTAAAATGATTGGGACAGATCCATGGGAGAATCCCTCCTCCATATCAAGCACATAGAAATCAGCAGGAAAAATGAGTTCACCAACCCGAACTAAGACATCCTCAATGAAACCTGTAGGGTGGGCTACACTCCTATTTTCCAGTTGTATCACCACACCCGTAGGTTGCAGAGGTCCAAGAGATAAAGAATTAAAAATGGACAAATGCATAACATTAATTGAAGCACCCAAATCAAGCATGACATTCTCAAATTTATTATTGCCAATAATATAAGGTATGCAGAATGTACCTGGGTCCTTACATTTCTTAGGAATGTAAGGAACAAATTTACCTATCAAAGCAGACACATTTCTGCCCATGCTGATTGTCTCACTGCCCTTCATCTTCCTCTTGTGGGTGCATAGCTCCTTTAGGAATTTAGCATATCTGGGAATTTGCTTGATGGCATCAAGCAGAGGTATGTTCACCTCAACTTTCCTGAAGGTCTCTAGAATCTCTTTATCGACCTCTTCCATCTTTTTGCTTGGAATTGCTTTGGGAGGGAATGGAAGAGGGATAGGAGGCTGTTGCAGGTCAGAACTGGGGCTGGAAGAAGGTCCATCTATATGCAATTTTCAGCTACCAACTGGTTGCTTAGGTGCAGGAACTGAGGCAGCTACAGATGAGGGTGGAGGTGTTGCAGTGGGTATGTCAATCTGTTTCCCTGACCTCAATGTGATGGCACTCACATTCTTAGGATTAACCATAGTCTGTGCAAGGAGCTTGTCTGAATTTTGATTTTGCAATTGATTCACAGTAGTAGCTAGTTGACCAATCTGGTTGGTTAAACTCTGAATGGAGGCATCATTTTTCTATTGGTACTATATGTTCATCTCAGCCATTTGTTTGACCAATTCCTCTAATGAAGGTGAAGAAGGTTGAGGAGCTGGTGCTTCATTTTGCTGCCTCTGATATTGTTGTTGCATTGGTGGAGGCACATAAGGTCTGCTTGGACCAGCAGAATTATGAAATGGTGGTGGTGGTAAAGGATTCTACTACTGTTGGTGCTGCTGATTGGACCATCTCAGATTTGGGTGATTCCTCCACCCTGGATTGTATCTATTGCTTGAGAAGTCAGAATTATGTTGTTGGTTCGGAGCCCTATTATTGAAAATGTTTGCTGCATAAGCTTGTGGAGCTCCAGAACCTGTAGACTCATGCAATAATTGGCAGCAATCAGTGGGATGCTCAATTGAAGTACAAATGCCACAAACCCTTGCAGGTGGTGCAGGTCTCTGATTTGCAACAAGTTGTGAGACTAGGGTGGTGAGGGCATCAATCTTACTTTCTAGTTTCTTCTCCACTAAATCTGATGAACCCAAATCATGTACACCTCTAAGGACTATGGCATCACTCCTCATGTTAAATTGCTGGGAATTGGATTCCATCTTCTCAATTAAACCTCTAGCAGCAGCAGGTGTCATGTCTCCTAAAGCTCCTCCACTAGCTGCATCTATCATACTCCTATCCATTGTCTTCATCCCCTCATAAAAGTACTGCAGCAGTAGCTTTTCTGATATTTGGTGGTGAGGGCAACTTGCACAAAGTCTCTTGAACCTCTCCCAATACTCGTATAAGCTCTCTCCCATCTGTTGCCTGATACCTGATATATCCTTCCTGATGGAAATGGTCCTGGAAGCAGGGAAAAATTTCTCTAGAAAGACTCTCTTCAGATTATCCCAGCTCGTTATGGAACCAGGAGCTAAGTAGTACAACCAGTCTTTGGCAAGATCCTCCAAAGAGAAAGGAAAAGCCTTCAGGTATATGTGATCTTCAGGAACATTTTGTGGCTACATGGTGGAGCAGACTATATGGAACTCCTTGAGATGCTTGTGTGGATCCTCACCTGTAGGACCATGAAACTTGGGAAACAAATGGATTAGTCCAGTTTTAAGCACAAATGGTACATCCTCTTCAGGGTATTGGATACATAAATTTGCATAAGTGAAATCAGGTGCAGCCATCTCCCTGAGAGTCCTCTCACGAGGTCCAATAGGTTGATCACCCATGTTATTAGTTTGGAAATTATCAGAAGAAGGTATATTAGGTGCAGTACTCTCACTATGACAATCTAATGGTTCAAACTCAAGAGATGAATTCCTAGAATGTCTAACTAATCTTTGAAAGGTTCTGTCTATCTCGGGATCAAAAGGTTTGTCGCCGCCATCCGTTCCAACGTCCAGGGACATCTCGAACGTTTATGCAAGCGGTCGCGAAAAGATGGTTTAGACTCGCGTTTTATGTTAAAATTATGTTCATTGCTTCCGAGGTGCTCAACAACTGAACTATCCTCTAATAAAAGCAAGGTTTTCGAAAAGGGGTTCTTATGGAGTCGCCACCAATGTTTTGACCGTAAACATTGGAAAAGGATAAAAAGGCGTTGATTTTAATAAAAACCAAACTTGGCCATTATAACCAGAGATAGGTAAGGGAGTTAGTTACGTGTGGGGAAGGTGTTAGCACCCCACAATGCCCCTTTCGGGTTCCCTATGACAGATTCATTCATTAAGTAAAGATTATGAGAAATTACGCTATTACCCTATTTTATTGCATAATATTAAAAATGACTATCTACATGACTTTATTTCATATTGCATACATAAAGTAATAAATAAAATAGTAAAAGAGAAAAGAAGTGAAAAGAACCTCCGTAACAAGCTTTGTATTGCGAATCTTTAATTGTAAGGATGCGTTTTGGCAATCCCTCGCTCTACAAAGACTCTCCTCTCCGAATACAAGATCGACTCGACTAAATTTTTACAGAAGAATCGAATGCTGGAATACAATTCCTTAACTGATTGTTACCTTATTAAGGCAATCAGAGAGTTCATTCGAAGTAGGAAGAGAAGACAAGTACTGGGAGTTGTCTGGGGTGTGAAAAAGTGGCAAATGAGCCTCCTATTTATAGTTTTCGCAGCCTGGCAACTTGGGACGGCTGTCCGGGGCTTGGAAATCAAGGATGAGCATCTGGAGAGGTTGGGACGACCGTCTGGGATTTGGGACGACCGTCCCATTCAAATTTCACTACTAGAAAAATGTTAAATAGTAACCGAAATAAGTGACTGAAAATTTCAGTCACTGATAGTGACTGAATTAGTAACCAAATTATTATTTTTAGTTTAGAAACTAAAATAGTAACCGAATTTTCAGTCACATAAAATCGAGTTACTATTTCAGTCACTTTATTATTTAATTTTATTTTTTTAATTAATTTAATTTTAATTTATGTAATTATTTCAAGTATTACCTTCCAAATTTTATCTCTTCGTGCTATCTCTTCCTCGAAAATTTTCATTTTCTTCTTGGCGCTCTTGACATCTTTGTAGCTTCCCAAATTTCTTCATCTTCTTCGCGCAACAGTCATTCAAGCTTAACCCCAGCCTCTTTCCTTGTGTCAATTTCTTCATCTCTCCAAACAAATTCGAACCTCAACCCCAGCCTAAAGGTCAACGAACTGGAGGCCCAAACCTAACTCCGGCGGCATCGAACCCCAATCTCAAGGCAAACCCAAATCCAACTCCGACGACCTCGAACCATACCTCAACCCCTAGTGACCTCGAACCCTAGCTCAACCCCAGTGACCTTGAACCCTAACCTCGCCCTAACCCCAGAGATGAAAAATCTTGGTTCCATCTACAGACTGTTACTGACCTTTTCATGTGAGAAAGCATTTTGCGCTTGCATTGTTTCTAGGTTTGCATTTTATCTTTTCCACCTTGGCTCATAACTTTTATTTAGGTGTGATGCAAAAGCACTTGAAGATTTTCTTTACAAACGTGTAATATACTCGAGACGAAACAGTTACAAAATGACTGGATCCAGAAGCTGTTGCGCTCAACCAAGATGCCTTGGCAAAGATTGTGTACTCAAGATTGTTTGACTGGTAAGCCTGTAGCAGATTGCTTAAAAATATGTTTTTTGAACCTCGGTTACAGTTACCAAGTTTGGCCAGTTTGCTCCAGGTGTTAATCTCTGTTTCTTTAATTTTCTGTATTGATTTTGTAGGTTGGTTGATAAAATTAATAATTCTATTGGTCAAGACCCTGAATCAAAATCCTTAACTAGTGTGCTGGATATTTATGGCTTTGAGAGTTTCAAGCTAACAGGTTTGTAACTGGCACACCTTTTGTTTTGTAATTAACATGGGTGAGTCTTCATGTGAACACTTGCAAGAAACTTATAGATTATTTGGGAGTCAATGATGGCCTCCTCCACTAACTAGTTGTCATATTATGAGATGCTAGATTGAATTTGTCATATCATTTAGTACATCCTTAGCTCATTATAAACTTGGTATGTACCAAGAAGGCTTGTGATATATCCATTTGTTATTTTGGTTTGATATTAAACTACATTTTGATGTAAGGTCATTCCTTTGTAGTTCTAGCTTTTTTTACTGTAAAGATGTTGATTTTGTATGTTATGCCTGGTTGTTATTTGTATTTGCAGTTTTGAGCAATTTTGTATTAATTTGACCAATGAAAAGCTTCAGCAACATTTTAATCAGGTTTGTACAGGATATATTCATTTCGTTAAAAATTATATATTAAATGTGGTTGTGAGCGAGAGATGTAATTGCTAAAATTGGCTTATGGAAAGATGATGCAGATAGTGCATTTTCATTGGTTAAAGCATCTTGAGTTTTTGCCTGGAAAGTGTCTTTGATGTTTCGCATTCTGAATTGTTTGCTTCATTCTAAATAGTAGTTAAATTGAATAACATCAAATATCAGTTCAATGAAAGTATACTCTAGTAATAGCTTAAGTGAAAATAAAGTATCATAACATAACATAGGTTGCTCGATTTAGTTTCCTCAGATCTATCATTCAAAGTGGCATAAAAATGAGAGACGAAACCTCGGGAGTCAATTTGAGTGGATGAAATGATTTAGGCGGTGTTATTGATTGAAGTGTCCTTAAACAAGTACACTCAATTTTAGAAAAAAACCTAATTATTATTATTATTATTATTATACATAATGCAATAGCATTCTTGTATAGCTAACCTAATATGATTGATACAAGTTGTAAAGCTAACCTAATTAGTTTGCGACTTGTATAGTGATGCAATAGCATTCTTCCCTTGTTAAAACAATATTATTATACATAATGCTGCAAGTCTTAAAGGCTGGTGTCCAAACTGTTGCACACCTAACTAATATGTTTGTGGAGCATAATCTAATTGTTGTGGAGATTAAAATATTGCATCGGTGAGTGGACATATAAATCAAGGTTACAAAAGAAAGAAGCACTAAATGAGGGAAATGTTTGAAAATCAGTTGACTTGAAAAGAAGTAGCTTGAAAATTTACTCTGAAAGCAAATGAGAGACATGAAAAGGGACAATCTATTTTGTTTATGGGTTTAAATGAATGAAAACATCGAAGTTGTGATTCTTCTTTTTGTTTAGCTACTAGGTTGAATTTTTTAATGAATTAAAAGAAGGTATATCTGACGATGATCTTGAAATGATAATTGTTGGTTGAGTGCACACAAATCCCTTCCCTTAAATAGAAAAATATCATGTACATTATCAATGTATTATTTTGCCATTATTTGTGTTAGCACAACAATATCATAGTTGTCTTTGTGCAGTTTGCCATTTGTAAACTTATTATTTACAATAGAAATTTATTTTGACTCTAATGATCTCGTATTCATTTTCAGAAACCTGGTGGCATTATCGCTCTTCCGGATGAAGCTTGGTATATTTTATACTCGATAGCGAACATATTCTATGGACTATTATATTGATGCTCCGATAACTATGTTTTTGTTCTTTGCAGTATGTTTCCTAGATCTACACATGAAACTTTTGCCCAAAAGCTTTACCAGACCTTCAAAAACCATAAAAGGTTTAGCAAGCCTAAATTATCACGTAGTGACTTTACAATTTGCCATTATGCTGGAGATGTAAGTTGGGGAAATTGTTACTTTTTCTTCCAGATATAATTAGTAAATAAATAGGATACATTTATAGCAGAAGTACATGTCCGGAAAGCTGCATATAATTTAATCTGTGTCATTTGTAGGTCACTTATCAAACTGAATTTTTCCTCGACAAGAACAAAGATTATGTTGTTGCAGAGCACCAGGCACTTCTTTATGCTTCAAAATGCCCCATTGTATCAGGTTTATTTCCTCCTTCTCCCGAGGAATCTTCAAAACAATCAAAGTTCTCTTCCATTGGCTCACGATTTAAGGTTGGTTTATTTGGAGAAATCTTTGTCACGACTCTACTTCATCATCTGTCCAGCTTATGAGAGAGGAGATTGAACAATTAAAACACAAGTTACAAGAAGTTGAGACTGAGAGGGATGATCTTCGGGAAAGAATGTTAACTAATGAGAGACAAATTAAGAAAAATGATAAAATGTTGCTCCTCTTGATAGAGAAGATGGATGTTCAACCTCCTGAATTGTGAACTGATTATATTTTGTATATTGTAATTGTTTTGTTAGTTTCTGACATTTCAAGAATTATGACTTTTATTTTAGTTTATTCTACTTACTTTTAGATTGAATTTTCAATATGTAAGAAAGTATTTAATTCATGAATGATGAATTTATTTAGAACTAAATTTGTGGTATTATTTTGATAGTTATCTTAGGTAATGAAATTTTTATACATTTAATACAATAAATAATGTATTTCATAAGTTTATTGTTATTTTAAAATAATATAAAAAAATAAAAATAAAATTAGTGACTGATATAGTGACCGACTTGGTCATATATATTCGATCATAAAATCGATCACTGATTCGGTCACCGATTCGGTCATTGATTCGGTCACTGAATCGGTCACCGATTCGATCACTTATTCGGTCACTGATTCGGTCACTAAATCGGTCACTAAAATCAGTGACCAAGGAAATAGTGACCGATTCAAGTTGGTCACTATTTCGGTCACTATTTTAGTTAGTTACCGATTTTGGTCATTTAGTGACCGAATTTTCGGTCACTATTTGTTGTTTTTCTTGTAGTGTTTGGGACTTGAGACGCGCGTCTCAACTTTGGGACGGGCGTCCCACTTGGCCAGGGAAGCTTGGGACGGTCGTCCCACATTTGGGATGGCTGTCTCAACTTGTTTTGGACAGCTTTTGTGTTCTGGGACCCCCGGGAAGCTTTCCTTTCTTTATTCGGACGTCGATTGATGCTGATAGATGCCCATTGAAGCTTTATCTTCATATAGAAAGTCTTCTTAACTTTTATTGAGATGTCGGGCAAACTTTATCTTGTTATAGGAAGTCTCCTTAGCCTTTATTGAGAGGCCGGGCAAAATTAGGGGTCTACAGCTGCCCCCCCCCCCTTCACCTGCCTGGCTAATTTGTTGGCTTAATATGCCAACAAAATTAGTTGGTAGGGGAAGGAGTTAACCCTTTTGCCCGGTTATCCTTCAGATGCTCCTTTGGTGATCCTCCGGATGATAAATATTTTTGATAGGTACCAACCCCTATCTGGTTTGAGCCTTACTTTATAAGGCTCTGGTGAGTACTTACCCTCACCAGTATGAGTCTGCATTTCACTAGACTCTTGTGGGTACCTACCCCCACTAGGTATGAATTTGCTCTTTGCTAGATTCTGAACCATATTCCATAAGGTTCTTGTGGGTACCTACCCCCACTTGGTATGGACCTTGTTCTACAAGGTTTTGGGGAGTACCTACCCTCACCTGGTACGAGTTCGCATTTTGCTAAACTCTTGTGGGTACTTACTTCCGAGGTGCTCAACACTTGAACTATCCTCTAACAGAAGCAAGGTATTTGCAACCCGTCCTTGTGATGCTCTAGTGAGTATTTTACTCTACCTGACGCATTTTGTTAAGTTTTTGATGAGTACCTACCCTCATCCAGTACAAACCTTATTTTATAAGGCTCTGGTGGGTACCTACCCCCACCTGGTACAAATCTGCGTTTTGCTAGATTCTGATGAGTACCTACCCTCATCCGGTACAAACCTTACTTTATAAGGCTCTGGTGGGTACCTACCCCCACTTGGTACGAATCTGCATTTTTGCTAGATTCTGATGGGTACCTACCCCCACCCGGTACGAACCTTATTTTATAAGGCTCTGGTGGGTACCTACCCCCACCTGGTACGAATCTGCATTTTTGCTAGATTCCGATGGGTACCTACCCCCACCCGGTACGAACCTTATTTTATAAGGCTCGATGGGTACCTACCCCCACCCGTACGAACCCCGTTCCGCAAGGCTCGATGGGTACCTACCCCCACCCGTACGAACCCCGTTCCGCAAGACTCGGATGGGTACCTACCCCCACCCGTACGAACCCCATTCCGCAAGGCTCGATGGGTACCTACTCCCACCCGCACGAACCCCGTTCCGCAAGGCTCGATGGGTACCTACCCCCACCCGGTACGAACCTTATTTTATAAGGCTCGATGGGTACCTACCCCCACCCGTACGAACCCCGTTCCGCAAGGCTCGATGGGTACCTACCCCCACCCGGTACGAACCCCGTTCCGCAAGGCTCGATGAGTACCTACCCCCACCCAGTATGAACCCCGTTTTGCAAGGCTCTGGTGGGTACCTACCCCCACCCGGTACGAACCCCGTTCTGCAAGGCTCGATGGGTACCTACCCCCACCCGGTACGAACCCCGTTCTGCAAGGCTCTGATGGGTACCTACCCCCACCCGGTACGAACCCCGTTCTGCAAGGCTCTGATGGGTACCTACCCCCACCCGGTACGAACCCCGTTCTGCAAGGCTCTGATGGGTACCTACCCCCACCCGGTACGAACCCCATTCTGCAAGGCTCTGATGGGTACCTACCCCCACCCGGTACGAACCCCGTTCTGCAAGGCTCTGAACGAGCCCCGTTCTGCAAGGCTCTTTAGGATGCACTTTTTGATAGTCAATCCTATGGTCATCTGGTTATGAAGATGTGTTGGCGGCTTACTGTTTCCGATCATGCGCCTATTCCATGGGGAGTGATTGATTTTCTTTCTTTTTGACTTTTCTGTTTTAGTCATTCGGTTTTACTGGGGATTTCTTTGTTTTTGGCTTTTTCGTTTAGCCATCCGGTCTTTGTCGGGGATTCTTTGTGTTTTGGCTTTTCCTTTTAGCCATCCGGTCTTGCCGGGGGTTCCTCGCTTTCTGGCTTTTCCTTTTAGCCATCCGGTCTTGCCGGGGATTCTTCGTTTTTTGGCTTTTCCTTTTAGCCATCCGATCTTATCGGTGATTTCTTGTTTTCGGCTTTTAGCCATCCGGTCTTGCCGGGGATTTCTTGTTGGTTGCCTCTTATTTTAGGCAAGAATCTCCTGGGGATTTGTGGTTTTTTTATTGTTCCTCTTGTTTTTAGGCATGTGCTTCAGCGATGGTCACTACTACAGAAAACACTTACTACGACAGCATCCAACGTCGGTTTTTATGAAGATCGACGTTGTACAAGACGCGGTGGCAAACTTGTAATTAAGAAACAATATTTAACGTCGGTTATAAAAAATCCGACGTAGTAACAGAAAAATAACGTCGGTTAGATGACAGACGACGTTAAATGTTTAAATTTAACGTCGGTTATGTATAACCGACGTTGAAATCCCAAAATCAACATCGGTTCCATGATTTACCCGACGTCGAAAGCATTATCCACGTCGGGTTTTTTAATAACCGACGTTGAATGTCCTATGATACCTAGACTCCAAGGCGCGAAGTTGTTCTTCTGCTTCTTCTTCGTGCCCACATACCTCCCTCCTTCAGTCCTCACTGTCGTGCACTGCTACCTCGGGATTCGCGTGGTCTGTCGCTCTCAGTCCTCACCTGTCGTGCTTTCGCCCTCGCCGCCCACTCGTCGCACTCTTACGTGGCGTACCCCGTTGTTGCCGTGTGTGTGGTAGCCCTCATTTCCCTAAGGAAACCCCTTCTCATCGGGTTAGATTAAGTTGTATGGATGATTTACAACATGCATTTAACATAAATATGGATTATTTGGAGCATTTCCGCGTATGAACATTAGAAAGATGATGGATGATTTTGTATGGTTTGATTTGATATAGGTTCGCTTAGGAGGCTTTGGAAGTTTGTTTTCGGTTTCAAGCGGTATATACTCTTTCATGTAGATGTACACATTTTATTTTCCCAATCTTGATGTGGGAAATGAGATGTACACGTTTTTTTTGTATTGTTTTGCTAAACCTTTTCTAATAAACCTTGAATATCTAGGCAAGCCTTTTTGTGTAGTTAGATGGATCGAACTTGGGTCAATGCAAGTCGCATGTCAAAAGAGTATGAGAATGGAGTTGGCTCCTTTTTGAAATTTGCCGAACAAAATGCTCCCAAAATGAATGGAAAAATCTATTGCCCATGCGTTAATTGTGTAAATGGCAGAGTACAAGAGATGGACACAACGCGGGAACATCTTATTTGCGATGGGATGATGAAGAATTACACCATATGGACCTGGCACGGTGAAGTGGTTGATATTCCAACGAGTATCACAAACTATTGAGGATGATGTAACCCGCGAAGATCGAATAGAGGACATGCTTTGTGATGTGGGTCAAGAGAGCTTTCTTGAAGCACATGCATATCTATATATGATACATTGAGGACCGATTCGTAGACACCTTTGTATCCTGGATGTACAACTTTCACACTGTTGTCATGCTGTGTTAAGATTGGTCAATCTAAAAGCAAAATTTGGTTGGAGTGATACAAGTTTTAATGAATTACTCCAACTTTTGAAGGAGATGCTCCCAGACAATAACACCTTGTCTGACCGTATGTATGAAGCGAAGAAGATACTATGTCCAGATGGGTTTAGAATATAGGAAGATACATGCTTGCTCTAATGATTGTGTGTTATACAGAAATAATTCTCATCTTTAGACCAATGTCCAACATGTGGTGTATCACGTTACAAAGTGAAGGATGGTGATGATTGTAGTCGGAGAGTGGTAAAAAACGTCCTCCCGCAAAAGTTTTATGGTATCTTCTAATAATTCCAAGATTTAGGCGGTTGTACGCTCACGAAGATGCTCGAAAATTTAATTTGGCATTCAAAGAGAAAAACATGTGATGGGCAAATGCGACATCCATCCGACTCCTCTCCCCAATGGAAGAATTTTGACCGTCTATTTCCAAGTTTTGGTAGTGATGCAAGAAACCTTAGACTTGGATTAGCAACAGATGGGATGAATCCTTTTGGAAATTTAAGTAGTAACCATAGTTCATGGCCCG